CCAAAGTGCTTTTCTTTGCTAACTCTGAGACTTTCCTAAACTAAGAAAGCTTCTCATCTCGATAAAGAAAAGTCAATTCCCTCATTTCTCACAAATCACTTGCCACAAAGAACAAAAAGGACTCGAAATCTTTTTTTCAAAGCTAAAATGTTGAAATATGGTTTGCTTTAGAGAACAAAAACTTTAGAATTACAATACGATAAACCCCTAATTCTTGGCTAAGAAGCGGAATCGAACCAAGAAGTGTGTCACGCAGGCAAACTAACCACAAGGCTCACTCACTCACTTTTTGACAGACCATAGCTAGACACTACGTGACAGAAATTCAAAAAATCTTTTAAAACTCATGAACTTTAAAGCCATTTTTTACCTCTTCCATCCCCCTTAATACATATTTACCGTATTCTCTCTAATAGTAGTGCACTCTTTAATAGTATTGCGATCCGAGAGGGGGTTGAAGTTCTCGAGAGGTTCTCTCTAATAGTAGTGCGCACTACTATTTTTTTCAACCCCTTCTCGGACCGCAATACTATTAAAGAGTGCAGTATTAGAGAGAATACGGTAACTATGATATCAGAAAAAAAACTTTCCAATCGAATGAGCTTGGTCTAATCTCGAAAGTTGATAACAAATCAGTGAGCATCTGAATGAAAGCTTTTGAAAGTGTTCAAAAATCAAACATTCATTCCAGGACTACGTTCCCAGCTGGCCGTGTGGCTTGAATAAACCCTATAATCCGAATCAAAAACAATGTGACGCAATGGATTGTACACTTTACGAAAATTGGTGCGACGATTGCTGTAATGGTAATATTTCAAAAGAAATATTTTCAAAATCATAGCAAATTTGTAGATGCTTGAATGTTTTAAATGAAATTTGGATGAAATTTGGATGAAATTTGAATCAAATGAACTGTTTTCAGGAACCCACTACAAAGACACGGTCTTTATGCCGCCTGGAATCGTTCCGATGAGGTAAGCTTTCAAGAATGGTTTAGCTTTAAACTATTAATGCTTTAAACTAGACTTATTGATATCCTTAGCTCTAATACGGAGCTTTTAACAATTTCTAATCCTTTCAATGTTCAGATGTCAACCGGGTCGAACCGTCGAGGTCCCATTCGCCGCTTTTATCTCACCACCGCACTTCTTGTGGTCACCGGATGAGGTTTGAGGCAATATTAATTACATCTTACTGAAAAGAACTATAGCTTGCTTATAAGTATCTAACTTATACTAAACTAAAAACTCTGCTAATGATTGAACCAGAATGAAAATTTTTGCTAAATTTTTTCCTTTTATACACTTTCCCAAGCCTACGGTAGTTCATCCACCCTATAATCCAAACACTCCAGCTGAATACTTTTTGTTACAGAATAAAAATGGTGCATCCTGAAAGAGCATAAAATCATATTAGTTTTCTTTTAAAAAACGACCATAGTAATTGGAACTAGGGGAGAACAAAAACTTATCCACCGCTGGGTGCTCGAACTCGTGACCTTTCGCTTACCTGGAAGCCGTAGTAACCATTACACCACAGCCGAGACGATTTCCCTTACTCCAGAGGAAGTTAACTTTGTTATCTCGAGAATTCCTTTGCATACCCTAACGAATATCTGATTTGATTCGAAAATGATTCTGAATCTAAATTTGCTCAAAAAGTTTTTGGCCTTTTTTTATCACGATGTCGGGCGCACTAGGTGGTGTAATGGATAGTGAATCAGGATCCAAAGTACCTACTTGACGGTTCGAATCCAATCAGTGTTTTCTCTTTTGGAAAATCGATTTTAACGGTTTCCAGTGTGCAGATATAAGTTAAAATAGATGTTTGATTCGATTTTTGAGGCTTTTTCAGTTTAATTAAAGCCCACAGCTTGCCTCTTTTAGAATAACGGGATTTCTATAGAAAATGTATTCCAGGTGACAAAATCGATGGTCGGCCTTGCGCCAGATCCGGTAAAACACGATCCGAGTTTATTCCAAGTGCATGGAGTGAGTTCTTTTGACAGAAACTAAGCAAAAAATACCGCCAAAATATGAACACCGCCTTTCAATTCGTATTCTCTAGCTTTCTTTTCATCTTTAGCTATCGGGAGCGGCGGTGAAAGGGCTAATTCGACTCCAAATCTCGATCCCGCTCTACCAAGACAAGGCACTTTTGTAAGAAAATTGTTTGTATATTTTGAAAAAGAAGAAAGATTAAAGTATACTTTTAAATAGTAGATTGAATTTTTTTCAAATCCGCAATTTCTAGAATGATGAGACATCTCCGTAACGCGATCATCCCATGTGCATGGATTGAATTGACTGTTGAGGTGAGGGTTTTCTTTGTTTTTCGTTCTTGCTTACAATATTCTAGAATAAAAGGTATTCAGCCAACAAAACTGAATATGGCTTTAGTTTAGTTGAATCATTCGAAATCAATAGTTTCTTGGTTTTCAGATGAAAAGCTTTGCGCATCGCTTCATGAAGTTAGTGATGGTGACGATCCCGCGAATCATTTTAGGCATCGGAATTTCGCTTATCATTCTACCAATATTAGGTTACATTTACATTTTTTTTTCTCGTTTAATCAAAATTTCTAGCTATTGTTCTCTACATTTCTTGGGGACATTGGCGAAAAAAGACGAAACAACAGGGAAAGATTGAGGCGCCATTGATCGAGCAGAGTGAAGCAAAGCAAAGTGAACGAAATGATGAATGGCAATAGGAGGATTTGGATAGAAGAAAATTGGAGTGAATAAATAGTGAAGTTTCTATTGCACAAACAGCTCATTGGATACGGTTTCTGAGAGAGTAACCACATTGCTCTGATTTGTGGATTTTTCTGCTTGTCAAGTAGATCCGCCCATGAAGGCTTTTGTTTCAACTAACATTTCTGGCTCATTTGTGCATCCCCTATCGGGAACGCATTCCAAAATTTTGTCGAGGCACCGTTGGAAGGTCTCGGGGTTAATGCTAACCTCAAACTTGGGTAATTAAACCGAAGAGTGGGGTCTCTTTCGCGGTATTTGTCGGGGCCGTGTGCCAGAAGGCGAGCGATTGTGTGCTCCCCCAAAGTACACTTCCCGGGAACCATTTCAGCTGGAGATTTCGGAACTTTAAAATGGATTGGATTGATTCGATTTGTCGATTTTTTGTTTTCTTTTGTGTATTCAAATAACCTTTGCTTCAACCACATTTCTGTCTCATTTGTGCATCCCCTATCGGGAACGCATTCCAAAATTTTGTCGAGACACCGTTGGAAGGTCTCGGGGTCAAAGCTAACCTTAAACTTGGGTAATTAAACCGAAGAGTGAGGTCTCTTTCGCGGTATTTGGCGGGGCCGTGTGCCAGAAGGCGAGCGATTGTGTGCTCCCCCAAAGTACACCTCCTGATAGATATCAGCTGGGAACTTTAAAATGGATTTGTCCAGGTATTGATGTTGAATTGAAAATTCAAAAAAGAACTCAAATTTTTCTTGTAATTCACGTTTTTTTGAAAGATCCTAGCCTTTTTTGAGCTCAAATTTTCAATTTTATTTTTGCATTCCTTATTGAGAATCAACGGAAAACTTTTTGTTAGCTGTTTTTTTTTTACAAAACACCATTTACTTCTTCTATCTATCCTAAGCTGCATAAAAAAGCCTTTACGCAAAATTTTCAAATTTCAATTTGATGACACAATTTTTTTCATCAATAGAAGCATTCATTTTTGAAATTTAGACTTCTAAAAAGTAATCGCTCCTTTTTTTCACTCGAATCTGCATTTTTTTCGTGTCAATCTTTTATCTTTTATAAGATTGACTGTATAAATAGAAACAGAAGAAAAGATTGAGACCAAAAAGTGCAGATTCCAGTGAAAAAAGGAGTGATTAAAAGCCACCATTTGAGCAACCATAAAGAATTTTTACTGAAGAGCAAATAAAAAGCCAAATCTACATTGGATTTTAGAAACTTACCAACGATGTAGATCTCAGAATTGTTTTGCGACTCAGCGATTGCCTCTGGGAAGTCGTGGGTGAGCATCATTTTCGATCAATGAAAGCTGTTCTGTGAAAGCTGGATTTATCAGTTTTTTTTTGGAAAATTTATAAAAACTATTTGAAGTTGTTTGAAGTTTTGAGAGGAATTTAGTGATTTTTCAGTTAACCGATAAGTTTCCCACGACCCACGACTTCCCAGAGGCAATCGCCGAGTCGCAAAACAATTCTGAGATCTACATCATTGGTAAGTTTCCAAAATCCAATGCAGATTTGGCTTTCTATTTGCTCTTCAGTAAAAATTCTTTAAGGTTGCTCAAATGGTGGCTTTGGAGAAAAAAAATTGGGCACATAGATGCAACAGTTTTCTCGGTAAAACCAAATCCCTTCAAAATCCAAAAATGAGGTAAGCAAAAGCATGAAAGCATTTAGTATTTTTAAATTCATTTGTGCATCCCCTATCGGGAACGCGTTCCAAAATTTTCTCCGGACACTATTGGAAGGTCTCGGGGTTAATGCCAACCTCAAACTTGGGTAATTAAACCGAAGAGCGAGGTATCTGTCGGGCTATGTGTCCGGACCGTGTGCCAGATGCCGTTTTTTCCTAGGGGAGACATGGAAGGTACACACGGTGGCGTCGGCTGCGTCTCTGCGGGAAAAAGATCTCTCTGTTGTGGGCAATTTCGTGAAACAAAGTTAAAAAGTTGATAGAATACAGTTGTATTGTCCGGAATTGAAAAAAACGAACATTTATTACTTTTAAATGTAAAAACTTAAATAATTTCTAGATAATGGCGTCGTCTCTTCAAAATTGTAGAAAAATATTTAATCAAAAATGTAAATTAAAGTTTTTATCGGTTTGATGTTGCACACTTCGTACTTTTCATTTATATTTCTATTCTCTTTGTGTTTTTGCCACTGAAAACTCCGAATAAAAATCTTTATCTCAAACTCAACCAATCAAAAACAACAACGAGAACAACAACGTAACAACAATTTGAAAACAAATCAAAAATCAACAACAACCAAAACAATGCCTATTTTCTTTTTCCTTGCTTCACTTTTGTAGATCCTTTGTAGATGGGCTTTGGCGGGTTCTAGAGTTCAAATTTTACAAAACAATGAAAATTCCGAACTCTTTTTCTAACAAAGCTGAAACTTACAGCTTTTCTTTTCGTGGCCGAAATGACCTTAACATCATCGTCCTCATCACCACTCGACATCTCTTCTTTGACCTTGAAAAGAAAAGTTATAAGTAAGTGGTCAAAAGCAACCTCTGCTTCTGCTGGTTTTTTTGTGGTCACACGTCGTTTTTTCGTTGGAGGTGACGGCAATCCCTTAAAAAATATATAAAGTTAATTTGTATTTAAAAGGAGTAATTATTCACCTGTTCACTGTCACTGGAATCCATATCATTTTCGTTATTGGATTGTTCTTCATCGCCTTGATCGGAACCACTCTCCTGAACAAAAACATTAAATGATACTATGCAAATTTAACCGAACTCTAACTTTATCAAATTCTTACAATAATTACAATAATTTACTTATATGTGGAGTTTAAAAATCTTTTTTGAGGATGATTCTTAAAGAATTTAAGATAAAATCTCTACGTCTTCATCGTCTATTTCATCCCAAATATCACTGCCTTCTCCATCCGATTCCGATCCGCTTTCATTCTCGGCTTTCTAAAAGAAAATTTTTAAGTTTCAATAATTCATTGCAAAGTTTAAGGTCTCAAACGAACCACAACTCGTAACATTATCTTTGTTTTAAGCTTTAGAAATTTTATGAGAACTTATCAAACACAAACCGCTTCTTTTATTTGCTCCCAATCTCCATCCACGTCCTCTTCTTCCTTTTTCTCTGGTTTCATGATCGAGAGTCCATCCCGGAGTAGAACACAATTGAGGCGAGCTTTGCAGTAAACCTAAAAGCTTACACGTACACTACGATATGAACTAATAACTCTACATACTAAGGTTAAAATTGATACCTTGCTAACGAGTTTCTTCGAATTCATGTCGTGCACCCGTGCGAATCTATCAATGCCTAAATAAAAGGTAAAAATGATAAAAAGTCATGCTTGATAAAAAAAATCTTTAACTAACCACAACTCGCAACATATGGAGCAGTAGGATGACCATAAATTGCACGAATCGCCCCGGCTTGACCCTTGAGCTTGCACACAAGCATGACTAAATAAAAATCTTGTAGCTGTACATAATGTCGTGGATAAATAAGCATCCACAAAGAACTAACTAGTCTATCTAACTGACTGATTTAGAACGTCAAAATTCTTACTTTTTGTTTTTCCTCGTAAATCAAAGAGTCCAAATTCGCCAATCGTGTTGCCAGCAAATACCTAACAAATAAGCTTATTGACAAAACATTTAATGCTTACCTGATGATCTCTGTATGAGAGAGAAAGAGCTGTCACTGGAGATTCCATCCATTCTACTTGTCGCACGGGACGCCTCTGAGCCCTCATGTCATACATTCGAATCTAAATAGTTGTAATATTTATGTGACAAGGTTTGCTATACCTTAGCGATTAGGCAAGTGTTCCCAAAAACAAACAGAATGATGGAATTTCTTTATTTAGTTAATTTGTAGTTGAACGAAATTACCATATGTGTTCCAGTCCCGGTGATCAACGTCTCCGAGTCAGGCACCAATCGAATATCCATATCCCATATTGGTACGTTAATCGCGAGATTGTCTGGTGGTACCTAAAATCTATCACATACAATCAATTATTGTTATGGTCACATTTTTTGAAATCCAAATCGGTTCATCCGACTTCTCGAGGTTGAAAACTTTAGCCGGACACGATTTTCCACCAACAGCTATTCGATCACCGTCACCATGTAAACAGAGGAGACCCTAAAAGAAAAATACACACCTGACTATAAATCATTTTAAGCTTATTTTAGCAACGTTTTATTTTGCACTAATATTTAACTAAAAACAAAACTCACTTGCCCTCCCTTGAACGCGCTCAATTCTTGTCCTTTTCTGTCGTGCAGCGTAACGTGACCAGCCGCATCGGAGACCACAAGTTGATCGCTAAATTTGTGAAATGTGAAAAAAAACACACTTTAAAGCTTACTTTGGCGTCAAGTAGAGTCCATTAAGCCGTTCTGCTCCATTTGAGACATCAAAAAGTTTGCTCGACTGGCAGCTCGTTGTATCGAATGCTCGGATTTCTCGACTTGACGTTGAGAAGAGCAGCTGATTCTAAATTTAAATTGAAATCATTTAAGCAGCCAACGATTCTAACTTTGTAAAATAATTTTTACCTGTTCACTGTCCCCAAAAACCATTCTCGTGATTTCATCACGTTTCGGGTCCAAATCTTTCAAGTTGTTCAAGTTGAGAAAGGCGTTATCGCTCAATGAAAGTGCTAAAATGAAATGAATTGTAAATTTTACTCTTTTTGAGACATTGTTTTTGCTTATAGGATTAAAAAGTTAAACCCAAATAAACTTTTAGCAATTTAGAGGTTTATCTACTTGCTCATTGGTTCTTAAACTTGCACAATAAAAACTCAACTTTATAATTGCAAGCTTCATACAATCGACCTTTACTCCAATATACATTTATAGCTAACCTTTCAAACAACCCGTCGCCGCACCCACATAACAATCATTCATCTTTTTCTACCCGTCACCTTAAATTTCTTATTCATTAAAAATAGCCAAAACCATACAACAAAAGAAAACAAATTACTAGTCATACAGAAAAACCATAAAAAAATAAATATTATTCCGTATTTATGCGATTCATTTGCTCTTTGCCATTTTCTCTTCTATGCAACACGGTTGCAATTGGAACGTATCCCCCATGTAGGATTTCGCCAAAATCTTCTGCACTTGCAATAAAGCCGACTCAGCTCGATCGCCCTTCTCATCAACGTAGGCGTCTTTCGAGGTGTACGGTGGTGGCACAACGACCAAATCCAGTGCCACAATATTTTTCCCTTTCCAACAGACGTTGTTGTGTAAAATGTGCCGCAAACTGAGAAACGCTCGTTGCCCTTCTATTGGAATCTGCTCTTCCATCACTTCTAACATCTTTGTTTGCGCCATTTGACTCGATTGAAGATTCTGCGAAGTGCTGGCCATGATCGATCCCAAGATATCGTCTCCATGTGGTCCCTCGGTTCTCTTCAGATCGGATATCTGCTTCAGGTTGAAGATGCGAAGCACCGGCTTGCTTGTCGTGGTGTCCTTGATGGCAAGGATCTAAAAATAGAACTCGTTTACAGGTGTAAAATTCAAGACTCATTTCTTATGTGCGAACAAAGGCTCTTATTGGGAATGTTGACCTGCTTGAGTTCACAATTGTACCTCGTTTTTAAAAGTCTGTTGAAAAAGTTAATGAGTCAATGCTTAGAGGTTCAATCCAGTAATCAAGCAAAAACATTAATTTATTCTAGTTTCCTAAATATTCTATCAAAGAAAAACAGCAAGCTAGTTTAACAATAAAGTCCCACCTTGGATACCGGATCGAAGCACGCGACTTGTCCTTGGATGTGCGCTCCGAGTGAAGTCTTGAATTCGACAGGCGTGCCCACGGGAAGATCGTATTCACCTCGAAGCGTTCCACTCCCCGCTTGCATCACCTTCGTCACCAAAGATTCGCCGGCCATCGCTACCTGAAAGCAAAAACATTAGAAAAGAAAGAAAGAAAAGAGAGCAACATTTTAAGCATTAACGTGCAGTTTGAAAGAAACGAAAAAATTTCAAAAATTATCGTTTAAAAAATGAATTCATGGGGGTGGCTACTTTGTGCCTTTTCTTTCGCGTCTTTTGTGCAACTTGCCATAACTTTATTCTAAGTTGGCCAATCTTTATGATTTTGGTGTTATTTTGTAGATCTCAACAAGTGCAACAAAATGACACCAAAACCAAAAGTTGGTCCACTTAGAAGAAAGTTATGGTGAGTTGCCCGAAAAATTTGGCGCAAAGTAACCACTCCTTGGATTTACAGAAATTTGAGTGAATTTATAGAAAAAATTTTGATATTTAGAGATTCCGCCATTCAACCGAATATTTAGACAAGAGGAAAACTTGTAGAAAAGTGCTAAGTGTGGATCCAACTTTTGAGCGCAATTTAATGGCACAGCGCAACTACATCTGGCTCATTTTCACTACAGAAAATATTTGAAAACATCTTGAAATACACTTTTTTGGTTAAAAACCACAAACATCTCATAATATTGATAAATTTTCAACACTTTTATTCATTTAAGCCTTTAGCAACAATAAGTAAACCCGCAAGAGAAATTTTTTAAATGACACGTATATTTTGTAAGTGAGACCGAATGAGGAAGAGAGAGAGAGAGATCGCAATAAATGGATAAGTGTACTGACATAAAGTTTAAGACAATACAAAAGAAAGTTAAGAAAATTAATCGATATCGATAATATCGGGGGTGGGTTTTGGTTTTTTCGGTGATGGGGGATTTCCAGGTCGAGGCGCCGCTCGGGCAAGCGGTTTGCCGAAGGGTGGACGGCTGGAAATGGAATCAGTGTTGAAGGATTTCGATTATTTTATAGATTTCTCATTATTTCTAGTTGAAGATAGTTATTATGTACACTTCTCACCCCATATTTGAAGATGGTGGACGAGCTGTGCTGATTGGGGGCCGAGTCGGCAGCTGAGGTTTTGCAGGTTTGCTAGGTCCCGGAGCTGACAAGGCAGTGGCTGGTTTTGCAGCAGCCCGATTCTGTAATAAGATCACGTCTAATCAATCAGCTACTTTTACTCCTCTTTTTCCGTTTTATAATTTTGTATCTCGTACCTTGTTTGCCCAATCAGAGAGTGCGGCCAGTTGCGCGATGTTTTTGCTAGCGAGAAGGCCCTGGAAATGGTTTTAACAAAAGGAACTCTGGCTAAACTTCTAAGAGCATGGTCTTACAAATTGGTTTTGATTTGTTTTAAACGAAAACTTTTAATAGAATTATGATCAAATCGATTTTTATAATGTCTGTTATACAGATTTCATTGTGCAAAGGTAGTTGGCGAATCTGTAAACGTCTTGACATGTTGAAATTTTACATTGGGGGCTTTTGATGATGCTGAATCGATTGGTGATATTTTTAAACCTCTTGTTTTGATTAGACGATTGATTGAACCGGTTGTCAACAAGAGATGTTTAAATCTCTTGTTATTCTTTATGAAGTCTTGTGGAAATGGCAGCATAACTCTGAAAGCTTGCTGTTCCTCTTCTGGGATGAAGTTTCCAAAAATATCCTTTATTCTAAATGTTTTGTTGTCATCATTTTATTGTTGCATTCTTGTAAAATCAAAATAACAAGAAATCATAGTTTGAAAATATCGCCGATCGATTCAGCATCATCAAAAACCCTCCAGTGTAAAATTTCAACATATTTACGAGTTTACAGATTGATCCCCAACTACTTTTGCCCCGATTTCAGTCCTTATGCAACATCAACCCACCCTTAAAACTTCGGCTCTCTGCATCTCGTTTAAAGCCTGGAACCTCTGCATATCGTTGATCGAAGCTCCAGGGAGAAGCTTGGGTAATTGACTGGTTGAAGGCTTTTGAGACTGACTTGGGCCAATCTTTCTCTGGGGTATGGCAGAAGTCGGCGACAATAAATTCCTCGGTTTGATCGGTATTTGAGGTCTAGTAACAGTAGCCGGTTTTGCCATTTGTCCGGCTGCAATTTGTTTCTGCAAAGCCAACATTTTCGCCAGCATATCAGCGGTGGCTTTTGGGGCTGTCGCTGGTTGTTCTGTAGCCGGTTTTTGAGTGATCCCTATTGAACTCCCAACTTTTGGCCTCTCAACGACCGTGGGTCCGATTTGGATCCTAAATTTTGTCTAGATTAAAGAGTACACTTATAGAGTAATTAAAGAGTCAATATTTCACCTCTGAACAGCTGCTGCTGGCTTCGAAACGGTGACTTCTTTTTGCGCAACTTGTCCCGCAGCAACACCGACAATTTGCGGTTTCTTGAGCACAGCTTGTAACGGTTTACTGAAAAGATTCAATTTTAAGAGTCATTCCTTATTTACCTTGTAGATGGAACCAAATTCGGCATCGATTTATTCACAGTGGTTTGCGCTGATTCAATTTTAGTTGTAGTCGAGGTAGATGGGCTGAATGAATTAAAAATAGCTACTTTAGAAGCTTATTCAGATAATTTATGATTTTTTAGTAATGAACCAACCTTACAGCACTTCCTAGTGGCTTGAATTTGATTTGTTGAACTGCTTTTGAAACAGGAGCTGGTTGTTGAGGTTTCGAAGTAGCTGTAGATGCAGCAATCCTGAAAAGTTTTCGTTTTTTCAAGTTTATATTTCCCTTACTTTGCCAAGAGAGCCATTGTAGAGCTTTGCGTTTTGTCGGGTGAAGCAGTTGAAGGGGAGGGTCTAAAATCTAACCTATATACAGTCGAACTTTTCTATAACGATTCTAAAAGGTCCTTTAGAATTTGAAATTCTAAAGGGTGCTCCTAACTTCTGCGTAACTGCTCAATAGGTGCAATCGTTGCCCGCACAGGGCAGCTACACAGAAAATGTGCGGCGCGTTTATCGTTATGAAGAAATTTTCGATCCCTTCGATATCGTTAAATCGAAGTTCGACTCTATAAGCTCGAAATGTCCGCTTATTTCCGCGGTAGGCAATGGCTGAATGGTTAGCAAGCTGTAGCAAGCAAGCATGGTTAACAAGCGAATGGTTAGCAAGCTCGCGGTGCCAAAGGTCAAAGTTTCGAATCCGACTTCGGTCAAGCACTTTGCTTTTTTTAACAAAAGCTCAAATATAATAGAAATAACCTTTTAAGTAAAAGAAGGCTTCTAACTTTGCACCGGACTCAACTCGACAAACCACGAGCGGGAAAACCCGGGTTATCCCGCTCCGGCTCCGGAGTTCTATAGCTTTTACATGACTCTTAGGAAACAACCAAGGTTAGTGAAAACAAGCTGATTTCAATTTAAAACGATAAGAGTATGGCAAGTTTCTCAAACAATAAGCACTTTCAATAAAAGTGTTCACTTACTGTGAAAAAACAGAAGAAATCGATTTCGTTGATGATTCAGCAATTGTATTCTGTATCTGCGCCCAAGCTGTCAATTGACTCATTTGTTCCATGAAATCCATTGGTTTCTTTGCTGGCGGAGGAGCCAAATCAGATTTTGACTTTGCAAGAGTCTGCTGAGAAGCCAATGCCATTTCGTGAGCTCGTTTCTGAAAAAAAACTTCATTAGAGTTAAGTTTTAGTTTAGAATGGATTTGGAAAAGAGAATTTACGAGACAAATCGGACGCGCAATTTCAGGCGCTTGATCTTCAGTCTCCAGGGTATCGAATTCAAATGAACTTTTTTTATTTAAAAGCTAAGACTTTAAGCTATCTAATGATACCAATCACTTATATTTTTCTTTTGAAAAATTGAAAAAACCTTATCGAGACTTAACGAGATAACAAGGAATTGTCTCGCTAAGTCTCGAGAAGGTTTTTAACCCACTTTTTCAAAAGAAAAATATTAGTCATAGGTATCATTAGATAGCTTAAAATCTTGGCTTTTAAATAAAAAAAAGTTCATTGGAATCCGATATTCTAGAGGCTAGATCAAGCGCTTGGAGTTGCACGACCCATTTGTCTCGTTAACTCTCGTTAGCCAAGTCTAGTTTAGAATAACCAAATAGCCAACCCGTTTCGCTGCAAGAAGTATAGCTTCTCTTTCTCTTTGTCGCCTCTCCTCAATATCCAAATCCTCAGCAAATCTTTCTACATCACCATATTCTTCAGTGATTAGTTTGGTGGCTTGTCGGTTTAGCCAAGACGATAAAGGGGTCGAAGTGTTTTCATCCAAGCTAAAAACATCAATATTTTTGCATCTTACTCATTGTTTAAATGGATAAAATATCGATAATATCTAATGAATCATTTGACAACTTTTGGGTAACTATTGAACATTTTGTTGCATGCTTTAAGCCTCCATAACCTCCTTTAAACCCAAACTCACTTCACAAAAGAGTTGAGAATATCGGACATTGCTTCTCTCAATTTCGCTGTCCATTTCATTTTCACCGGTTCATCACTGATCACTTCAATTTCCGCATCCTCTCGCTTTTTCATCTGTTCCTCTTTTTCTCGTCTTACACACGCCTCAAACGCTTTCCAGCATTCTTTCAAGATCTGGCGCTGATCGGCTAATGTGATCCATTCACTAAAGCAAAGCCATAATATATTAAATTACTTTTGCCAATTTAATTTCGATAAATTCAATCGCTTAAACAATAGCTATAGATTCAAATTGCTTAAACAATTCAATAAACAATTCAATAAACTTTCAATAAACTTTCAATAAACTTTCAATAAACTTTCAATAAACAATTCAATTCCTTTGTCAACTCACTAATCTTTCGCGAGCATTAACTCGACAATTGTTGAAACAAAGATTGAGAGCTGATTGACGTCATGTTTTTTGTAAACGAGTCGGATCGCTAGTCTGGAAATAAATTAGAGATTAAAATCCAATAAAAAGTATTAAAGACAAACAGTTACAGTATACTTTCAAAGAATTTTTGTCGAAAATTTCCTACCTCAATGCCCTTGCTACATGATAACAAAAAGAGCCGGATCTTGACAAATCGGTCATTGAGATTTCGATGGCATTCTGAAAATGGAGAAAATTGATCTTATTAAAATTTATCTATCTATTTACAATACCTCAATGAAATTCCCCTCTTCACCAAGCTCTTTCTTGAAAATTCCATGAAAGAGATGACTGTGCGCTTGTTTCTCTTTCCCGATCTCTAGCATCATTTGCGTCATTCGGTAATGAGCTTTCATATGGGGGAAACGATCCAAACAGATCTGAAATAATATATTGTCATTTTTTCTTGTTTCTATAAAATTCCAAACCTCGAATCCATTTTTGCACATTTTCCAGAGCTCATCGATCAACTCGACCTTTGAGACCATTTCATCGAGAGGGCCGCGAAGGTCTTCATTACTAAAAAGTGACATAGTCTAGGAGGTTAGTTAGTGTTTGCAATCGAATTTAGTTTCTATAAATTGTAACTTTTACTTTATTCTAGCCACGGTTGTTTAAAAAACAATTTTCCGGGTCAGACAAGGGTTATCGGACCTTTGATACGCACCCCTTCCCTTTGCCATCAGCAATCTAACTTTGAACTCAAATATCTTGGTGTTGGGCTATCCAATTTGAATATTCTTGGTATCATTAGATGCGCCAAGTCTTTCTCTGTCCATTGGTACAAAAACTATTTCAATTCAACAGCCCAACACCAAGAAATTTGAGCTCAAAATTAGATTGCCGATGGGAAAAGGGGCGGGGTTGTGGGACCTCTTATACGCGCACCGCCCCTTTTCCCATCAGCAATCTAACTTTGAGCTCAAATATCTTGGTGTTGGGGTGTTCCATTTGAATATTCTTGGTATCATTAGATGCACCAAGTCTTTCTCTGTCCATTGGTACAAAAACTATTTAAATTGGACAGCCCAACACCAAGAAATTTGAGCTCAAAGTTAGATTGCCAATGGCAAAGGGAGCGGGGGCGTTTCAAATGTCTCACAATCCAAAAAGCTAAAGATTCTAGTTGTTGAAAAAATATTTAGCTAACAAGAATTGCTGTTTTGCCAAATTTTGTGCTTTCTAGCTTTTATGCTTATCCAAATACAAACCTTTGCTCTCCGCTGACCACTTGATCGATCAACTCTTGCACAATATGGTGAGTCTCGGGCAATGTTTTGAATAAAGACGTATTTCCCGTTCGGCACACTCCGTGAGCTTGAATCGCTTTCAAATACGAGACACAACCGATGAGGATTTCACGGGAATGCGTGTGATCACTGAACGTTTGGAAAAAATTCAACGTCACTTTTACTCGACTCACCTCTTCAAGTACTTGTACGCGGCGTTGTAGATTTGGTAATGAACCTGGAAATCGTTTTTTTAGTTTAATTAGTTTAATTCCCATTTTCTACCTCGACAGGACCGATGTTTTTCTGAGCTTTCACGGCGATTTTAGCCGGATAAGCGCTTCCATTCAACTCCAAAGAACAAGCGGACTCGTAAAAGCAATCAAGAACCTAAGAAATTTGTTGTTAGCTTTAAATGCATAGATTTTTACCTTTAATATATTCTTCTCGATGCTCTCCTTGGCGGCTAATTTTCCCAAGAACAGAAAGCAAACCCAGGTGTAGTCAGACTTTTGCTCGGATGGTTGCTCGATCGCCTAATTCAGTAAAATATTGAGAATTGTAAGAGTTTTTGTGATGATTTTCTAATATTCTAACATTCTAATATTTCTAACATTTCAAAATGATTTCCTACGATTCTCAACTTTGTTTCTGAACTGAAATTTTCCGAAAAACGACTCACTAGCAGCTTTAGCAATAAAATGGCTACCGTAACCCAGTGTAGGTAATAAAATCAAATCCTTTTAAGACAAAACTACAATTCCACTTTTCACTCGCCTGTTCAAAAGCGGTGGTCGCTTGTGCTCGGATCTCAGTCACATCTCGCATCGCTTGACGAGCAAGTGGAGTATTTGATGGTAACTAAAGTTGTTAAATTATTTAGAATACCCTTAGAATCTACGATATATTAGGGTTGTCCAGTTCTTGCGTTTTTTAAATTTGTGATTTCTTAAAAACCAGGCAACAGTTTCATCTGAAATTTCTGAATAATCTAGTAACCAGTAAACTCTAGTAAACTAGTAAACTAGTAGCCAAAAATTGATAGCGATTGCTTGGTTGAATGGAGAGAATGTGTCTCTAACGTTGATTTGTGTGTGAATTCTTTGTGGATTCGGTAAGCTTAATGAGTTAATTTGGACTCGTCCGAATTCAAATTAATCTTTTTAGGCGTCCGAACCCGAATCCGAACGTCTGAATTTCATATTTTTTTACTAAATTAACTTTTTCCATATGTAATTATTTCACTTTAAGAATCTATAAGTATTGCTATACAAAATGACACCAAAATCATCAAAATCCGTCTACTAGTTTTGGAGATACAGGCACGCAAAGTGGCGCGGTCAAGGGTTTAGTTCAGATTCGGATGTAACATACCGTATTCTCTCTAATAGTAGTGCGCACTACTAATTTTTCAACCCCTCCTGGACCGCAATACTATTAGAGAGTGCACTACTATTAGAGAGAATACGGTATATAAAAGAGCAGTGTCTGTCTGCCTGTGCTAACATTTTCTCGACTGTGTTTTGACCAATAAAGCTAAAACTTCTTTATATTTTAATTGTGACATTTAAACAGTAATTTTGAAAAAACAAGGCTCGGTACAACACCCGGGAATCGAACCCGGATCGTGTGGACCGTAGAGAAGCACACTGCTGACTGCGCTATGAGAGACCATGTGCCCACGGAGAAAAATCCGCTATTAGTCGGGTTTTTCAACTGGTTTGAAATAAATAGATATCTTTTTGGTGCTCACCATTCTCAAAAACCTTGTCAACCGAGTTCCCAATTGGTACAACGAGTGCCCGTGCTCGAAATGGATGATTCCCTCATCGGGTTTCAGTCTGAAAATTTGCATACTCAAATTAGCATAAGAAAACTGATAAGCTGAATTTCTTTCTAAGCTGAATAAAAAAGATTTTTAAGACTAGTACTTTCGAATATCAAAATTTCCGATCAAACCTCAATGCGATCCGGAAAGGCAACAACAACCAGCGCCAATTCTCCAGCATCTCTCCGTCGCTCATCTGCATTTGCATTTAGGATATTTTTAGAAAAAAATTAGCTATGATTGCTATGATAATATTTTAAATGATAATATTTTAAAATCTTTACATTAAACAATCGATAGACGGTTGTATGTGCGAGCATTGCCCAGGCACAATGCGACACCGGATTGCGCTCGTTTCCATGCCCCGAAGTGAGGAATAAAGTCGCCCATTTCGACGATTCAACGTGATTGCTTTGTCTGAAAAGAATTTTGCACTTTAAATCAATCTACAGTACATATTTTTCTGTTTTTGCACTTTATCCTTTGATCTCCTGGGTTCTTTTGTGACTAAAACTAGCTATTATGCACCTAAAACTATGCTAAAAGTGCTTTGATTTATCTAATAGAAGTAGTAATCGGATAGCTAACAAGAGATTCAATTAACCTTTAAAAACTAACCGATAATAATGCAAAGCCACCGTGTAGTACAGTGAAGCCTGTAGAAAGCTTTCCGAGCAAGATGGAGGTGATTCTCTGAAAGATTTTTGTAGTATTTGTATTGCCCGTGTTTTGACCAATAAAGCTAAAACTTCTTTAGAAAACCTTAGAATATATTGTAGTTATGCCAGTTCAAATAAAAAAAATAAAAAAAATAGAGATTGAATGGCCCTACTGGGAGTCGAACCAGGATCGTGTGGGCTAGAGAAAAGTGCGCTCCCGATTGCGCCAAGGCGATCGCTTGCCGCCCCCAAACATCTAGGTAGGTCTAGCTAGCTAGAAAAACCCGTCGTTAGAGAAAAACCGAATCGAACTCGGGTTGTGTGGACTAGAGACAAGTGCACTCTCACTGCGATATCGAAGATAGAGCATGGCCGAGTGGTTAACGCGGGCGTCTCTCGAGCGAACGGAAGAAAGTAGTCGCTGGTTCGACTCCCCTCGCCGCCAATTCTTTTGCTTTTTGTTGGTATTAGATAATTGAAATATCTTTTATTCCTTACTCTTCTTCTGCCGATTTTATCCATTTCTGGAATCGCTTGACGATCTCGTTTCTCTCCTCCGATACCTCCAACATGCTGGGTAGTCGATTTTGAATGAGCTCAATGACGTCATGACCGAGTTTTTCCTGAAAAAGACAATCGTAATGTTATAATAGAAAGCATGCCATTCTGTTTGTCTGTTTGTGCCCTAGCTACAGTACGCTTAAGTCTCAAGAGCTCATGATTCAGCAACCGTTTAAACTAAGACTAAACAAGTAAGCAATTTAGTAAAATGGTTTTGATATGACTCTGAAAAAGTCGATTTTGTACTTTATCAACAGATCGTTGCATTTTGACAGCTTTATTTACTAACCCGATCATCGTGAGCCGGCAATGGATACGGTAGCGCCAATCCGACAGCCGCCTCTCTCACTTCTTTCAACTTTTCTGGTTCCCATTTTGGCGCATTCCCGTGCTCTTCAACATTTCTCCGTTTCTTTGAATATTTTCTAAAAAGATTTAGCATTTAAAAGATCTCAAATCTTTTACAAACCCAAACGAACAAGCGAGTAATTGAACCGTTTCTTCGCAAACATTTGCCAACATCCACGAGTTCCGAGATTTCTGGAAGAAAAACAGTTTTAAAGAATATCCTAACTTACATTCAGACTGAGATTTAGTAAAAGTTTCTTAAAAATTTACCTGTAGCAATTCTCGAACTCCAGGCACACACAAAGCGCTCCATAATTGACTCATGAAGAAGGCAAGGAATTCTCCCTGAACATTGCATTTGATTCTAAAGCTTTGCGAACAAAATTTAATGAGTTTTTTGGTTTTAGTGACACTTATAAACTCTTCTCCAACCTTATTCTGTGCACAACAAAGCGCTGTTCCAAGCAATTCGTGCGCTTTGATGAGAATCGATAAGGCGCTTGATGGAAGCTCATCATCGCCTTCACCATGAGATAACATCTCTTCGACAATTTCAACAGTGATTGGACCTAAGTTTGGACTGTGATTTGTGATTACAGAACAAGTAACTGACTATGAGCTACATAATCAACTAAAAGGGGCACCAGCAGCTCTCAAATAATCACAAAAAGTTTGTGATTTGTGATTTTGGTTTATTAGTTAGTTTATGATTTGAGTAACCAAGCCATTATAAGAAGCTGTTTCTAGCATTTCTAGTATTGGTGTCCTTGTTTCATTATCTTATAAAATCAATATCAAATCATTCAATAACTTACGGTAGAGGATAGACCTTGAAATTTTCTATAAAAAACCTTTTTGTGGCCTTTGAGTTTCAAGGATTTTAGTTAAGTAATAAGTCATTGAAGTTGCGATTGAAGTTGCGATTCTTCCACAGAATCTATTTTGATGTTAACAAATAAAAGAAAGGACACAACAAGTTACTCAAAATTCAGGCAACATATAGTCAAAATTCCAGCTGAATCCATTCAACTGTTACCACTTTACAATTATTTAAAGATCTAGAGAGAAAAGCGAAATTTCTGCTTAAATTTATTTTGGAATGATCTTAGATTTACTTTAAAAGAATTTAAAGTAATGATGAACAGAAGCAGATTGGAGATTCTTTGATGATTTAATATATTGGGTTGGGGAGAATGAGTCGGCGCCAAACTTTAAAGGGACTTTTTGCACACATAAAGCCTTCTTTAAACATACGTTTGGTTTCATCAAAAGGATCCACTATTTCTCTACAAAATGACTTTTGAGAGATTCCACAAAGCTTTTCTTTCGTGGAGTTTATGAACTTCCAAACGCAGCTGGTTAAAATGGCAAAGAGTCCGACTCATCATTTGAACAGTTTCTTTCACATAAACCTTCTTTGGTGTTTATATAAAAAAAGATAGAGCACATTCAATTACTTAAGTTGCCAAATTTGCAGGAAGATCCCACCAATGGTTTTTTCTAGATCACAGTTTGTAGTTTTTGTGAAAAAATGGCTTTTTCTTGAGCGGAGGCGCTGTTTGAATTTTCTTTTAAATGTCATTTTGTAGAGAATTAGTTAACCATTCTACTCATATCAAACGCATATTATTTGACGAAGTCGAATAGAAGTTTTAGACATTTTTTTCATTTTCGGCGACGACTCATTCTCCCCAACCCAATACATTTCATAAGATAAAGATCTCAATATATAGTACTCAACCTAACATGAACCTAAAATGTGCAAATGCTCGACTTTTCCTTTCTCTCACCTTCAATCGATCTTGCCACCTCGTAAATCAATTTCCACAACGGCCACCATCCAACAATCTCCGTGATCTGAAGCCTTGTTATTGCAGAAATTTGATCTATAGTAATCTTTCCTTACCATAGTGATATTAGCTAGCTCATGTCCTAAAGCTGATCTTTCTGTCACTCCCACGTTGCTCCATTCAATCGTTTCCAAATCAAAGACGAGTTCCTTGACCTTTGAGAGCAAAAATGGTTCAATTGAGCGGTGGAGGGTGAAGAGTCTGAAAGATCAAAGTTTATATACAAGCTAACTAAGCCGGTCGAATTCGATGCGACCATTCGACGCAGAATTTTATGCTGGTTCCGAATCATTATAATCCGAATTTATATTCCGTTTATACAATCTGCCAGGAGTTATAGGCGTTTAAAGTTTCCTTGGGAAAATGTGGTCATTTGGGTCTTAGTGGTCTCCTTACGGGCCCAACTCGATGCAGCTGTGGTACAGCGCTCGTTTCTAGAACGAGACCTCACAAATTCGATCCCAGCTGGATCTTTTGCTTTTTTTAAGAAATGCTGACTAATGTTCTTGTATCTTTTCTATTCACCTTGTCGCCAACACCACCGCCTCTTGATCTTTGTGCAAAATTCGAAGCGATTCCATCCACAACTCCGTCATAATCCAGATATCCTCCAAATCCAATTGACTGAAATCGACATCTCGAGAGATCACTTTCACAATCTAAACGGTATAAAGTGAAGATTTTTATTTTTACAGCACTTGTTCATGTTGTCCGGATTCTTTCAATGATCTCAATGAATTGATTCGATGAACTCTTTCCACCGCCTCACACGCTCGATCAATGTCCGCCAACGAGAAACCACCTAGAAAAGTTACTGTACATATATACTTAAATAAGTTTCTTGTTTAACATTAATATTCTTACAAACTTACCCGTAGACGTATTGATGAAGACCTCGTCGGGCACAAAATCCTGCATGATTTTCAGTTTTTCGAGTCTTGCCTGAAAAGAGATTGGGCATCTTTTTGTTTTCCTTACTCTGTTTTTTTACAAATTTTCAGCCCGCCTAACCCAACTCCGTTGCCCGAATGAATGTGAAAAACCGCCTTACACACCCGAAATAACGTTCCCGGCTTCCGAGCTAGGCAAGGTACGGATATAAGCTTCTTCCTGCCTGCCAGAAGCTCATAAAAGTGACCAGCCAGGTTGAACCACCTTTGTTCTTACTGTTTATTTTCTAGCCAGCCGAAAAACCCGTCTAATGGTGGGTTTTTCTGGCTAGATGTTTTGAAGCGATGCTTTTTGTCGCGTGATCGCATGGTTGCCTTGGCGCAGTCAGGAGTGCGCTTCTCAGCTCACACGATCCGGGTTCGACCCCCCGAAGTGCCCCTCAATTTTGATTTTGCTCAAACGGTGGGTTTTTCTTGCTGAATGTTTGGGGTTGACGCACAGTCATTCAGGAGCGCGCTTGTCTACAGCCCACACGATCCGGGTTATACACGTACTGCCACTCAATTTGAATTTTTGAATTTTTCATTCAAGACTTTAAAAAAAAATTCAATTGTTTTAGCCTGAATACGGCTGAGAAAAAGGTCGTACAGACAAACAGACGCTGCTCTTTTACATATAGATTACAGTCACCTTTCCTCCCCTACCTCTTCATTTCCTTTCTTCGCCATTTGCCATCCGAACCTCACCGCCATCTCAATTGTTGGCCATTTCGCATTTGAGACGAGATACTCTTGACAAAAGCCTTGTGCCTCAAATTCGCCTAAAGAAAGATTTTCAACTTATCAAAGTTTTCATCAAACCTAGCTCAAAGAAAAGTAAATGTATCGCTAAATATTCGTCGGTCTCTGAAGAAGGTCCCATTCGGAGGAAACGTCTGAAATTTCTGCTAATCAAAAACTAGGCAACCCGACCTGTAACACTGAATCCAAATATGGCGCGTTTCTTTTGCCAGACATCCCCTCGATGGACAGAAATCGGTGAGGATTTTTAGTAAACTCGCTGAAATCCAAAAATCCTCATAAAACTATTGATAATTTTATCACCAAAGCATTGAAATATCGTGTTTCCCTGAGGACTTTTGCTTAGCGCTTCTCTCACTTCAGTCAGCATTTGATCAGAGTCGAATGGTTGAACATTACCTAACAAAAAGTTTCATTTAAGTCAATTTTCCACAAAGCTAATGTTTTTAAAAAATAGCTTTCAAACCAACCGGGAGTCGGTGTCCTTGAGCTCCTTTTTGTGCCCGATCGTCGTAGAGGTGGGTATTTGCCTGATTTGAAGCCAACGGCTGCTGGGAACTAAAGTAATGGAAAATTATCTTACTAATCTTTATCAATTAAAGTTCTAGTATCTAAAAACTATCCACAAATCTTTATCCAACTCACAATATGATCGCTCTCTTCATTCTCCACGAATCCTTCCTCAATCCCGTCTTCGTCAGCCGTCGATGCCGAATCAATATCCCATTTTCTGGCGGATCTTAAAGTTTTTCTGTTTTTTTTTTTCTAAAACTTGTCTTTTTACCTTCTAACAATGTCTATTCCTTTTGAATAGATTTTCTTTGGACTTTGAAATTTCTTTGGAATATATTTGGTGGAAGTCGGCAGCTCTTCAGGGTTCAACTCCTTGTGATCAACCTAAATGGAACAGCTTTTAAACTATAGAGCACTTTATGTGTAATTCAAGTATTACTGTAAGTAAGTATTCCTCATTTTTACCTCATCAAGAATCTCATCAACACTTTCGACACAATCTAGCATAAAATCGACGGTGTCTACGATGTCGTAGCGCAAACTTCGCTCCCACCACGGTTGAAAGATTAGGCGTTGACGGGCTAACTGAAAAAGTGGATGCGTGGTGCAGTGGATAGAGGGCTAGAGTACGGAGTGGCGGCTCAAGGGTTCGAATCCGCTCGTTGCTTCTCTTTTTTGAAAATCTATTCTGGTTTGAGGGATACTTTAATAAAGATTATTTCGGTTGTTTATTCAAATCATTCACAGATTCACCAATTAGATATTTGAACAGCGTAAAACTCTGATGTGATGGCTCATTCGATTTAGTGAGCTGAGTCTGTTGAGCATTTCTTGTGAGTAAATTTTCGTTACTGTCTAATGAATGAATACTATTTTTACTTTCTTCGCTACTATCTTGAGGCTTTTACCTAGAAAAAAAAACAGTCTTAAAGCACTCACCGATGAGTGTGCCTCAATCCGATCGAACAGATCACAGAAAAGAGTCGCCACGGTGATTAGGCTAAAAATTTACAATACAATCGATGATTCAAAATTTGATCTGTAGTGATTTCCCTATTCTCCTTTCCCTATCCTCCTTTCCCTGTCTTCCTTTCCCTATGCCTTACTCCATTTCCTCATCGATCTCCAATTGAATATCTTCTGGTTGCTCAGAGATTTTCCACTTTTCTTTTTCTTTTCTCCTCTTCTCGAAAACTTTCTCTTTTGCAGTTTGCAAGCGTGTTTCCATCTAGAATTTAAAACTTTCAATCAAATATTGTTCAATTTACCGCATCCAAAAGTCTTTGCTCAATCCGAACATCGCTCAACTCGTCATTCTCGAAAATTTGATTGTGTTGTTTTCTGAAAATTTATTGATCTATCATTTTTTTTCAAATAAAAACCTATAAAACTCGTCTTCGCTTGCGATTTTTCGGCGAATAAAATGCGCCTTGACGTTTTTTGGATCGACCATCAAAATGTCTCGACAAATTCGGAGACAAGCTAGAAAAGGCGAATTTTAAATTGATTACTAAATAACTGATTGAAATCAATTACAAATCTGAATCTATATTGTGTGAATAAGGAAATTTTTGTGCCAACTTACCACTGTAATATCCAAGGAGATAGTTGGTGCTCAAGTAGGCATCGATTCCCTCGGGCGTTTGAACCTCAAAGGCTACGGTAAAGATTTTCAATAGAGTACGGTATTTATTAACTAGCGTATTCTCTCTAATAGAGTAATGCACCCTGAGCGTCGCCTAAATTCTCGAGATTCTCGAAATTCTCGAAATCTCGAGAGCCGCTTATCAGAACCTATCGATGTGGGATCGGAAAATGTAGCTGACGATGAGATCTAGTGCGGGATTTGAGTGTTGAGCTTCTGCAAAAGCTTGGAAACCGTAAAATAGTCACCGACTCGGCTCGCCGGGGTGCACTACTATTAGAGAAAATACGGGATCTAGAATTATCCCGAAAGCATTTGTCTAAGCTAGGATCTGGCTAACCCTTACCCTGGTCCTGGTCTGACTTTCAGCCCTTGAAACCCTACTGGAATATCCATAATCCTAATCTTTATCTATATCTTTATCGATCTATAACTTTTATCTATCTTTTACAATTGATAAGTGAATACCTTCTCAAAGCAATTCAACGCCATATCTAAATCGCCTTTCTCGAACATTTTCATTCCAACAACGAACCACAACTTCGTGTCCTTTGGAAACACGTTCAGCACCTGAATTGGATTGTTTTATTATTAATTTTCATCTTCAAGCTGGCTTCAAGGTGGCTTATCCCAAATCGATACTAAGATTGAGCAGTTCCCTAGTAACACCTAGAGAACTCAAGTACAGAATCCCTCTGATTTCTCAGCTCTGAATAATCCAATCAAGCTCAATTTGGTATCATTCGAAAGTCTGAGGTGTACTCTATACAATGATATAAAAAGTTAAGAACACTATCATTTCTAGACAAAGTTATGGCCCTTCAAATCTGAGGTCATCACATTTTGCCCTTTCCTTTATCGCTTTTCAATTCCCCTTTAGGTTTATACGATGAATCTTCTAGTTTATTTGTTTCTTTTTCCATTTCTGCGAAAGTTTTTAGTTTCTTAGTTAGATAAAATACTCACTTGCAAATAATGATAGTCGACGTTCGATGGAATCAACTGGGCCAATCGTTTGTGTATCGAGACAAAAACGCGCACCATTTTTGGAGCACTAAAAGGTTTTTTTTCTTTTGGATAAAAATATGTTGAACTCATCTATATTGAAGTTTGAAAGGATTTTATTAGTTTCATAGGGAGTGGGACAAATGCGACCTTTTTTTTGCGCACCCGGACATTTGCGCACCTTTTTTTTTCCGCACTTAGCCCATTAGCGCACCTTTTTTTGTGTTTTAAAAAAGCTCTAAAAGCTAATATTAACCAATTTCTATTCCAAAAGTTGTTTTTCTAGGTAATTTGAGGGCGTAGAATTCAAATTTTGGCATATCAGAGCTTGTGGAACCAATTTGAAAGACAAAACGGCTAGTTACAGAAAATTGTTGATTTTTCTCTTTGTATAACTCCGTTCGTTCGCTTCCACAAGCTCTGATATGCCAAAATTTCGATTCTACGCCCTAAAATTACCCAGAAAAACAACTTTTGGAATCGAAATTGGTTAATATTAGCTTTTAGAGCTTTTTTAAAACGCGAAAAAAAGGTGCGCTAATGGGCTAAGTGCGCAAATGTCCGGGTGCGCAAAAAAAAGGTCGCATTTGTCCCACTCCCGTTTTATCTGTTCAACTCACACTCCATCATTCACAAGCTGTCTCGTATAAACCCAATCGTAGTCGGCGTCTTTAAATTGAGAAAGAACTCGTGATTCGAGGCAAGACTGAAAAAAAAAATTGGATTTAGAATTAAATGTAATTTCGATAAACTAAAAAATTAAAGAAAAAAACAAACTAGAAATAGCCTCTTTGGTGTCTTTTTGTGTCCTCTTTCCATCAAATTGACAGCTTTTGTGTAACTCTTGAAACACTCATTCTCCTGAAACAAAAAAAAAAAACATGTATCAAAAAGTTCTTAGTTACACATGTGCTTAATTTTATCTTTGAATTGGATTTGCAGAGCTCAATTTAACTACAGTATACCCTATTGGATCACATCTAAAGTGCAGATAGGTTTTTCGATTTTTTAGAAAGCTTTGATCAAGAAGAACACAGAGTAAACTTGCCATTAGATTAATAAAATTCAGCTAATGACTAGACTAGACAGCTAGACTGTTGAAAGCGGCTACGGCAAACTTTTGCAACTTTTTTAGAAAACATCAGCCTCCTAACCTCAGCCTCGATCCTAGACCTTGCCGCAATCTCCTCCGGATCTTCAGTTGTTCCCCATACATGTGCCATCGCTTCCTCTTCTGCCGCTTCATCTTCACTATCTGTTGTTGATTCATCTTCTTCGTTTTCTTCATCTTCCTCATCAGATTCTTCATCTTCTAGATCTTCTTCTTCTCTATCTTCACTCTCATCTTCATCCTCATCTTCGTCATCATTGCTTTCGTCGTTTTCTTCGCCTGACCTGAAAAGTGATATTGGTTCAAGTAAAAGTACAAACAACGGATAAATTTTGGTTGGTTAAGTGAAACTTGTAAAATAATATGCAAAAAAGAACTGAAAGTCTTGATGAAAGCAAATAAACTTGGGCTGAGGCAAGAACTTTTTCGTACAATGACTGTTATCTTTACTATTGTTAACAAACTGACGATGACAGCTCGATCACTTCATCTCCATTCCCTGCATCACTTTCCTCCTCTTCTTCCCCCTCTTCTCCCTCCTCTTCTTCCTCATCTTCATCTTCGTCACTTGCACTGCTTGAGTCGTTTTTCGAACTTTCCTTTTCAGAGATCTTCTTCGTTGATTTTTCTGGACTTCTAAATGTCCCTTGATCGAACTCAAAAGTGATTTGGTTTTAGAGTAAAGTACCTAGAAACTAGAACTGAAATGAAAATGAAAAAAGAGGTGAGAGAGCCGATTTCCTCCATTCATTCAATAACAATTCTTTCACTACATCAACTCATAGTTGGAATCACTCAAAGATCTTCCGATCATGGACTAGGCGACTAGAAAACCTGGTCTTGAGTTTTATTTGGACTATTGGTCAATACCAATCGTTTTATATTGATAAAGTCCAGCATTATATGTTTTATATTGGCTGGATAATTCGTAGTTTGACTGTAATTTTTTAAATTTCCTCTGCAAACCTCGGCTCCGCTTCATCCGTTGTACTTTTTGATTGATTCGAGCCAGGATTCGACTCGGTGTTCAGTCCAGAACTTTCGTCTTCCACAGCTTCATCTTTCTCTTCATTTCTGAATATTATTTCTAATAAAAATAACAATTACCTTCAATAATAGTGTTTTAAAAGAGGATGGAGATAAAATTAAAGGTTGAGCGATTCAAGGCATAGACAAGGCTCATAAAAGAACTAAAATCATTTAACTAAACCTTATCCAAGCACTTTAACATGTAATTTAAGATTCACTATATTCAAATTAAGCAAATAACAGTCATAAGCTTATCATTTAAAATCAAAATCCACCCACCGAATCCCCGAAGTTGACGGTTGTTCTTGATCGACTTCCATCGCTGAATCTGATCCACTTGAGCTCCCATTTTCTTGATCCATCTAAAAATTATGCAATTTTAAATCAAACCAATAGAAAAGTTTCCAAAATATTGTAGGCTACATTTTTTTGAAGCAAAACTCTGTGCTCAAATCAGCAAAAAGCGCAGAGAAAAATCGTCAGAAAGGAGTGAAACGGAGCTGTTCGGATTCGGGGAAAAATAGGGACAAAAACGAGAAATTTGCGAACTCGGAAATGAAGAAAGTATAAAAATAAATGAAAAATCTCAAATGTTTCATCTTTTTTCATACAAAGCATAGAAATGATACACGCAGAAGCAATTACACTCGATTTTGCCCAGCTATTTGTACTTGTAATTGGATCTGTATCTGCGCCACTCGACAATTATACTTCTAGTGTTTGATTGTTAGATTTGCTTGGGTTAGATTGTTTTTTTTCTGCTCCAAAAAGCTACCGTACTTCATGAATGTCTTAGAAAGGACTTTAATCAGTTTAATAGATGGCTTCACATTAAATTTCATTCAGCAAGCCTGTAATTATTGGGTTGGTGAATTGAAAACTGCGGGACTTTGAACTAAAATTTATTGAACATAAAACCATGAAGTCATTCCAAATAATTTCCATTATTATTGACGACTTCTGCCCATTTTACAGGCAATTTGCGGATTTCTCTTTCGGTAGGATTTTGGTTTGTGTGTGAGACAAGTGTGAAACTCAAAAATCGAGGACTGGAGATGTCCCAGTTTGAGCACTTTCTTCAAAAGAAACCCATTTTGGTGCCAATGGAAAAGTTGTAGAGAATCAAAAATTAGGCTTATAGCCAAATTTCCAAAAAGATACACTCAGTAGTTTCGCTTAAAATGTAAGTTTTGTGAAAATTCGTAAATTTGGCATTTCTTGAAAACCAGTTTTTGAATCGTTCTGAAAATCTGGATATAAGCTTGATTTTTGATTCTCTACCACTTTTCCATTGACACCAAAATGGGTTTCTTTTGAAAAGTGCTCAAACTGTCACATATGACAATAGCCCACAGTTTTCAATTTACCAACCCAAGAGATTGAGATTAGCCTTGATTTGCGGAGAAGTCAATGTTCAATTTCGGAGGATTCGGAGCCGGCCACAATAGTTTGAGGGAAGGGACTTACGTAAAAGCCCTGCGCCAGACGACGAGCGATTACGCGGCCGCACAAAGAACACACATAACAAGCAGATTTTCATGATTTTCACAAAAATTGCATTTTAAGCGAAACTACTAAGTGTATCTTTTTGGAAATTTGGATATAAGCTTGATTTTTGATTCTCTACAACTTTTCCATTGACACCAAAATGGGTTTCTTTTGAAGAAAGTGCTCAAACTGTCAAATATGACAATAGCCCGCAGTTTTCAATTCACAAACCCAATAAAACAAAAATGTTAGTAACGCTTTATAGTAACGACAATCGGTACTTTCCTAAAGCCGTCAAAAAGAAAAAGACCTCACTTTGGTAGCTTTTCAATGTTCTTTTGTTTAAAGACCCAAATTAGAACCGATTCTCATTAAAACCAAGATCTGCCTAAAGCTTTGAGTTTGAAACAAACAAAGAAGCAACATAAACTTTTTTTCCTCCATTTTTCTGCTGAAATCTTCAATTTTATTTAAAGCAAATTAAATCCGAGTTCCGATTGGTTGGCTCATAAAATGAATACCTCCAATCGATTCCTCGACCCCGAAAACCCCCTCCAGCTACAAATTTACAGCTAAATATCTTTTTCTATCATCAACAAAGCAATAGAAAAATCTCTTAGGTTGTGTGCGCTTTGTGTGTGCGCATAATCGCTCGCCATCTGGCAGACCCGTTTGGTATAAGGGGCTTTCCTTCTGCTTCCAAAAACCAAGGTTTTTAGGCTATCCTCTTTAGCGGGAGTGCCCAACCCCCATATTTTTCAGTTCTACAAAACTTTTCACTGTAACTTTCAACAATCAAAATTTGTAAATATTTGAGTAAATTGGATTTAACTGAAAAGATTCACTGAACCGAATTAAGCCGTTGTTGAAGCTGAAGCCGCTTTTGGGCTGTCTGCTCCCTGGGACGAGAGTTTTCAAGAACTCCTAGTAAGCTGAAAATTCGTACCTAGGGGTTTTCTGGGATGGGAAATCCGAATCCACTGTTTATTTTTTGTCTACACCATCTCACAACCCGTAATTAGGTACTTGATTGGTTAAACTCGTTAGATTAGGCGAAAAATTTGTATCTGGGGGTTTTTTGATGCTAGAAATTCAATCTTAAGTCAATTTTAAGCTATTATAACCCTGGGATATGGAATTTGTAGTGTCCTGTACTTGAACGAGCAGAACATTCGAACGCTCTCTCAAAGAAATCCCTTCTTTTTCCCATATTTTTTCGTCATATGTTTAATATTTACATATTTTTTTGATCAAAAGAGACAGTCTTTTCTTTTCACTTTTGTTTATATTAGTAGCAAAGAAAGAGGCATTCTTTTGCTGTTAGTGTTCGCTGCTCGTGGACCGGGTTCGAACATTCCTATTGCTTACTTGCTTACTTGACAAAGCATATCACTTTACAATGGTGAAGTTGGAAATGATTGCAATTCGGACTAATCTTTTGAACCTCCAAAATTGATTTTTCTTGAGCTTGTCTTTTCCGGAAGTTAGATTGACACTAGGCCTGGCTCTGTCTTTGCTGGTTTAACTAACAGGACCTGGATTCACCAATCTAGCATCTAGCAATCTAGCTGCTCGTGGACCGGTTTGGAACATTCCTATTGCTTACTTGACAAGGCATATCACTTTACAATGGTAAAGTTGGAAATGATTGCAATTCGGACTACAAGAGCTCAAGTTAAATCTAACTAATTAACTATTGGGTTGGGGAGAATGAGTCGGCGCCGAACTTTAAAGGGACTTTTTGCACACATAAAGTCTTCTTTAAACATACGTTTGGTTTCATTGATGATCAAGCCTTGATGCTTGATTAGCTTTGATTAGCTTTGATTAGCTTTGATTAGATTAGATTAGTTTTCTTTTAGAATAGATGCTTTTTAGAAGACGCAGCCTTTCACTCGATATACGGTAATTAAAGGTATTGAATGAAAGATCTCGATACCCTTCCCAACTCACATAGTGCCCATCCCCTTATTGGAGCAATCCTCGCAAACCGAGTGCCCACAATTCATCGTCATCGGTCGTTTGTAGGCATGATCGACTGAAGAATTGCTTTTTCTTTTATTGGGTTGGGGAGAATGAGTCGGCGCCAAAACTTTAAAGGGACTTTTTGCACACATAAAACCTTCTTTAAACATACATTTGGTTTCATCAAAAGGATCCACTATTTCTCTACAAAATCACTTTTGAGAGATTCCACAAAGCTTTTCTTTCGTGGAGTTTATGAACTTCGAAACGCAGCTGGTTAAAATGGCAAAGAGTCCGACTCATCATTTGAACAGTTTCTTTCACATAAACCTTCTTTGGTGTTTATATAAAAAAGATAGAGCACATTCAATTACTTAAGTTGCCAAATTTGCAGGAAGATCCCACCAATGGTTTTTTCTAGATCACAGTTTGTAGTTTTTGTGAAAAAATGGCTTTTTCTTGAGCGGAGGCGCTGTTTGAATTTTCTTTTAAATGTGATTTTGTAGAGAATTAGTTAACCATTCTACTCATATCAAACGCATATTATTTGACGAAGTCGAATAGAAGTTTTAGACATTTTTTTCATTTTCGGCGCCGACTCATTCTCCCCAACCCAATATTTGAATTTCATTTTCAAGCTGTACAATCTACTGAAAGATTTCTTCAAAAAAAAAACACTTTTCTGAAATGCTCATCGAATCGGCCAATGAATCAGCATTCGATTTTTCACGTTCAGAATTTCTTTTTTGATTTCATTTCCTTCAAAATGTTTATCTTTTTTCTATAATTCTCTTATAGCGACTGAGCCATTTTCCCTTTGTCTCAGTCACTTTTCCGAAATTTTTGCAATCAATTCTTGCCTTCAATTTCTCTATATGTCTATATTTCTGTTTAGACTTAGCAATAGTTTTAACAATTGTTGCTTTGGTAAATCATGTTTTTGACACGAAAAACAAGGAGAAAAGCAAAAAGGACACCAAAATCCCGTAACTTTTATCAGATTTTGCCATTTTTAAAGTAAAAATCTACTAAGTTTAGTTTAGATTTCCCCAAATTGTGCTTCATCTTACAACATTATCTCTTTTAGCTTTATCGAAGTGTTATATAGTTTACAGACTTCGTCTGAAGGGCCTTTGAAATTAATAGACTATAAGATTACAAGATCACCCAGGATTTGACTTCAAAGTCATAGTCACAGTAAGTATTCTGACATCCCACAGCACTTTCTGTGAGTCCAACTTTGAAGCTCGATTTCTCGATGATTCCTGAAACTTTCACCCCATCCAAATGATACATTAACAAGCCAGAATTTCATGGAGAATCGAATGGTACCATTTGCAAGGCGATCCGAGGCCTAGAAGTTGAACAGGGAAAAAAATTGCAAGAATCTCTTTACATTTCTTCTTTTTCCTTCTGTCAAAATGTTATATAGTTTAGTAAGTGTTAACTTTCAGAAATAAAGAATCGATTTAATAATAATAATAATAATACTTTATTCAAACGATAAAGTGAAAGAAATCATAGAGAAATGCACAGTGATACTTAATCATACAATATATACTGAAATCAATAAGCCAATTACTTACGGCAAAGAGCCACTAGATCTAAAGCATCGATACGTTTCTTGAATATGAAAAGCGACGATTGAAAGAAAATTTCTGTACTTTGGAACTAAATCGGATAAAAATCGAAATCGGATATAACATAAATTTCTCTAAAAATTCTAAAACCTATTAAACCAATGTACTCACTCAAAAACACAAACTTTGAAATTGTTCTTTTGATATTTGTGTCATTTCAAACCTGACTAGACAACTAATAACGGCTATTTCTTTGCTTTTGAGTAAATTGAAATCAAATTACATTCAAAACTTCAGATAAATCCATCAAAATGTTCGCTCAAACATCGCTTTTTTTTAAAAGATACTTTATTCAACAAGAATAAGTGGATACAACACAACGGAGGACACAATTTTTACCCCTACAATGTAGTTAAGAAAAAACCCAACTTAATGGGAAAAAGAACACACACTTGATTTCGCCAGCGGGATCGAACCCTGGATCTTCCGATTAGGAGAGAAGATTCCTAACCAGTCGGCCAACTGGTCACTTCATTTTTGACTTTTGTCTCATTTCCATTTTTATGAGTCACTTTTGTCTCATTTCCCAACGATTTCCCATCTATTTGCCCATTAAAATGCCTGAAATCAGATTTACGAGCGTGAACATAAAAACTCATAAAAATGCTCATAAAAACAACTCGAATGTTGAAGGTTTAAAATTTTTCTAAAAAACTCCAATGAAACTCTGATCTCTCTTCGCAATCATGTCTCTTATCAACTGTTTTTTCCTGTCAAAAGATGGCTTAAAAATGAAGTGTCAGGACAAACCATTCCACTCCTTTTTTTCCATGAAAGCTTTTATCAGAAAATTTTTGTGAAAAACAGCTCAAATATTAGTCATCTCAAAACGTTTAAGACAAACAACTTTTCACCAAATATAGAAAATCGAAAATAAACTTTGGAAGTTTTAGATTTGATTCAACATAAACATTTTCCATAAACATTTTTCCATTTTCCATAAACAGCATAAACATTTTGATAAAGTTTTGATTTTGCTTTGCTTTGAAATTTCAAGAACTGTTCAATCTTCACTATTTTCTTTCATTAACGAGACAAAATTGATAAACTCTTGTCAAGTTTCATCTCCGTTTTCTTTTTAAACTTGACACAACTCCAGTAAAAAGGATATCCTAAACTATAAGTTGTTCAAAACTAAGCTATAAGTTGTTCAACACTTATAGCTTAGTTTAGTTGGGGAACAACTTATAGTTCCAAACTATAAGTTGTTCCCCAACTAGACCAACCAAGGCCAGGGTTGTATAGAAGCAAGATTCAACGCTGGCTTTACTTGGTTTACTTGGTTCTATTGCAAGCCACGAAAATTATCTAATCCCACCAGAATTCAGGGGTGAGTTGAGTTTAAATTTTCTGACTAGGGAACTGTTTCATCTAACTACCAATTTTTGAAACTGGACCTAGCTACGCCGCCGTAGAAGTCTAAACACGTATTTTTATTTTCCCATAGGCCCTGGTTTTCGAGAAGAACGTGTTCAAAGTTTCGACAATTTTGGGTCGGTCGTTCGATTCGTCTGTCGGCAAACCACCAGCTCACCGGTAAGAGAGCTCCTTCTGCCGAAAGTCCTTCGCTGCGAAAAGTCCTTCGCTGCCCAAAGGCAATAAAAACAGCAAAGGTTAGGAGGATAGTGTGCTAGACTGCGAAACCTATGCCATTTCCATCTTTCGAGTTCGATTCCTCTAGCTGCCAAATTTTCTCCTTTTTTTGGAAAACTTCCAAAAAACACTTCTTTATGATTATAGTGCTTTTAAAGCAGCAATCAGCTTCTGAGAAATCTACGTTTTGTAGCTAAATTGGTTTCGAAAATTGGTGGTAGATTGAAACAGTTTTACACCAGAACACCAGAATGAAACATCAGAATCCAAGGCTGAACCTGGCTTCTGGCTTTCGCCTTGTTAGGTCTAACTTGCAAGTTCGAGACTGGGGCCAGGCTGCCACAGGACAGCAACCCAAATCACTAAAAATCTATTGAATCTGTTGAATCAAGCCAATTCAAATGTAGTTTCCAATTCCAATTCCAGCCTTGCCAACTGTCTCTTGGATCATTTTGGGATACTCGTGCACCGTACAACTCATCGATTTAGTCATTTCCTTTCCCACTCTTGCCACCTTCATTATATGCAAATTGCGGACACAAAATTTCGAGAGATAAGGAACGAAATTTAGAGAGAAAAGGAACAAAATTTAGAGAGATAATGCATCAAATTTAGCGATAAGGAACCAAATTTAGAGAGATAAGAAACCAAATTTGGAGAGTGGTTCCCAATTCCAATTCCAGCCTTGCCAACTGTCTCTTGAATCATTTTGGTACACTCGTGCACCGTACAACTCATCGACTTAGTCATTTCCTTTCCCACTCTTGCCACCTTCGTTATATGCAAATTGCGGACACAAAGAGCATTGCTGAATATTCTTAACTTCGTGAATCGATTTTTTTTAACCATTTCCTATTTTTTTCGCTGCTCAACTTGTAATCTTTCGAGTTTTAACGTTGCGAAATGCTACCATATCCCCGTTTGCTTAGGCTCTGTATTTAAAAAGCCACTTGGCCTTGTCCATTTGATAATTGTTACCAACGCAACCTGTTGCCTATAAAACCGATCTCGCTCTTGAGAAATCATGACCACTTTTTCTTTGTACTTCTTTTTTAAAATAGATCTTTTAAATTCAAAATTTAGACTATGTCCCAAGGAATTTTGGACTTTGAGTGCCCGATTTGTTATGATGAATGTGAGTTGTGAGCTCCTTAGCTGTTGTGAGCTCCTTACGAGGGAACTACAACTACTTACCACCTCAGATCGACTCCAAAATTACAGGGGGGAAAGATCATCACAAAAGAAGAATTTTCTGAAATTTTTAGCTGCTAAATGCCAGAACTAACTGAAATATAAGGTTTCAAAGTTCAGAGTAGCTTAAACTTAAAGGGGGGGTATTAATCGCGGCCGGGTGACAATAAAATTTTTTTTACGGCAACCACTTGTTTTTTTATTTTAATATCGCTGATTTTATTATAAAAAGAATAAAAATCACCCGGCTAGAGTGATTTGATGGGTTTACAAATTTTTGGAGACGCTGCAAAGCTCGCGTAATTCATCTACAAGGTAAGTGCGAAAGTAAAGCAAAAGTCAGACATTATGTTTTCTTTTTGTTTTCTTTAGACTTTCGATCTACACTTTTGGTTTTTAACATCTCTAGATGTCTTTTCCAGATGAAGATTTTATGTTTAGATAATGCAAAAGGCCATCAAAACACCCTAAGCTATCTACTAGAGTGTGTTCCTCTCGAGTAATGCGTTTTCTAAAAGGCACCTATTTGAGAAAACTAAAACCACAATCGACCACAAATGGAAAAAAAGATCTAATTATGTCAATCAAAGCGCTGAAGACGTCCTAGGGTGGAGGAGATCCAGTCACTTCTGCTGAGGATGCGCTGAAAATTGACTAAGATAGGAAGCCGATTTGAGGAACTGCTGTACTTGAGCGAAGATGAAAGTGAGCAAGAGGAAGAATTATAGATTAACAACTTAGTTTTATTGTTTTTTGTGCTTTTTATTTTGTTTTTAAATTTATCTGCAATTAAAACTCAATCGATCTAGACTGTGCTGAGGTGTCTGATGAGTGACGATCTTGTTTTTCTCCAAGTCTTGCAGCGTCTCCAAAAATTTGTAAACCCATCAAATCACTCTAGCCGGGTGATTTTTATTCTTTTTATAATAAAATCAACGATATTAAAATAAAAAAACAGGTGGTTGCCGTAAAAAAATTTTTATCGTCACCCGGCCGCGATTAATACCCCCCCTTTAAACATTTTTGGGACTTGCACGGCACTCTTTAAAGGGAACTCTCACAGGCACTCTCACAGGTTAGCCGAGTGGCCGAGTGGTTAGGAGCGCGACCTGGTACTCCGAGTGTCGCTGGTTCGGCTCCACCCCAAAAGTTTTTCTTTTTTTGCAAAACCACATAATGTGCGTTCTATTTTTTTTTCGCTTTTCAAAGTTTATTCTGATTTTTTTAACCATAAAAGGTGAGGATAACAAAACTTTATTTAAAACTAATAAACCACAAACAATTCAACAACGGTGGAAAGATTCGACAAAATGAAGGAAGCAGAATATATTCAGACAATAAGCACAACGAATGTACGGCATATTATCGCAATTTATCTTATTACATGCACCAATCAAATCAGCAAAAAGTTGCTGGTGTCACATAATGAGGAAGTACATCATCAATATAATGAGCGCTTTTCCAGGCTTCGAGCATGCATGAGACAAAACGTGGCGCCCGGAACTGGTGGTAGATCTGACTGATCATCTTCAGGATAGAATCGCGTTGGCTCACTTGGAAGTCGATTTTGGAGGCAATGACGTGTGCGGTCAACTTTTTCACAAACGACTTGAAGAGCCGGAAGAAATGAACATCCAACGGTTGAATCTGCGACGTCGCTTCAGGTGGAATGCGTTTCAAAATGAGCTCCTCGCCAGCTGGGACCGTTGCTTGAATAGAGGCTTGATCACGAAATGAAGTCCAGGAGTCGACGAGAAGCATCAGTTTAGATGGCATAGCTGGACAGCAGACGATATCCCGGAACCACTTGAGCATCAGCTCCTTGGTCATGATATGGAACTTGGCTGCCTCCACCATCAAGTTGTCGGTTTGAAAGATCCCTCATTGTGGAAAACGACTATCTTTCTCCTGCATCACGATAAAGAGTTTGTCACCGAGTCGTCCATCCGCGTAGATCAGGGGCATCATGGTAAACGAGTGAGATGTTGCCGACACACTTTGAACGACGCGGATGACTTTCTCACCTTTTATGGTAAAAAAAAATCAGAATAAACTTTGAAAAGCGAAAAAAATAGAACGCACATTATGTGGTTTTGCAAAAAAAGAAAAACTTTTTGGGGTGGAGCCGAACCAGCGACACTCGGAGTACCAGGTCGCGCTCCTAACCACTCGGCCACTCGGCTAACCTGTGAGAGTGCCTGTGAGAGTTCCCTTTGAAGAGTGCCGTGCAAGTCCCAAAAATGTTTAAGTTTAAGCTACTCTGAACTTTGAAACCTTATATTTCAGTTAGTTCTGGCATTTAGCAGCTAAAAATTTCAGAAAATTCTTCTTTTGTGATGATCTTTCCCCCCTGTAATTTTGGAGTCGATCTGAGGTGGTAAGTAGTTGTAGTTCCCTCGTTAGCTGTTGTGAGCTCCTTAGCTGTTGTGAGCTCCTTAGCTGTTGTGAGCTCCTTAGCTGTTGTGAGCTCCTTAGCTGTTGTGAGCTCCTTAGCTGTTGTGAGCTCCTTAGCTGTTGTGAGCTCCTTAGCTGTTGTGAGCTCCTTAGCTGTTGTGAGCTCCTTAGCTGTTGTGAGCTCCTTAGCTGTTGTGAGCTCCTTAGCTGTTGTGAGCTCCTTAGCTGTTATAAGCTTAAAATCTAATCAATATCTTTGAACATTACCGTAGTAAGACAAAAAACAATGACTTTGCAGCATTCTTAGTTTAAAATGAAGTTTAAAATGAATGAATCTGATTTTCATTCCGAAAAAAAAGCAATTCTTTAGTCGATCATGCCTACAAACGACCGATGACGATGAATTGTGGGCACTCGGTTTGCGAGGATTGCTCCAATAAGGGGATGGGCACTATGTGAGTTGGGAAGGGTATCGAGATCTTTCATTGAATACCTTTAATTACCGTATATCGAGTGAAAGGCTGCGTCTTCTAAAAAGCATCTATTCTAAAAGAAAACTAATCTAATCTAATCAAAGTTAATCAAAGCTAATCAAGCATCAAGGCTAGAGGTGTCCGGAAGCAGAGATGATTATCCGGAATCACAGATGATTATCCGGAATCAGAGATGATTATCTGGAATCACAGATGATTATCTGGAATCACAGATGATTATCCGGAATCACAGATGATTATCCGGAATCACAGATGATTATCCGGAATCAGAGATGATTATCTGGAATCACAGATGATTATCCGGAATCACAGATGATTATCCGGAACCAGAGATGATTATCCGGAATCACAGATGATTATCGGGAATCACAGATGATTATCCGGAATCACAGGTGATTATCCGGAATCAGAGATGATTATCCGGAATCACAGGTGATTATCTGGAATCACAGATGATTATCCGGAATCACAGGTGATTATCCGGAACCAGAGATGATTATCCGGAATCACAGATGATTATCGGGAATCACAGATAATTATCCGGAATCACAGGTGATTATCCGGAATCAGAGATGATTATCCGGAATCACAGGTGATTATCTGGAATCACAGATGATTATCCGGAATCACAGATGATTATCGCGCTTCATTTGTCGTTTTTTACCGTACTTTTGCCATACCGTACTTTTGCCATACCGTACTTTTACCATACCGTACTTTTACCATACCGTACTTTAGGTAAACCCATTTTCTAAACCACTCGACTCTACGTAATCTTTTTTTTTCATTTTCTGCTAACAATTTGATGATAAAAATCGTATAAACTGGGAAAGGACCTTTATTAAGAAAATTTTTCAACCAAAAATGAAAATTAGCATGTAAGATCGGGATTTGAATAGTTTTTTTAAGGCTCAAGCTATTACCGGTTCAAGCTGGTTCAAGCTTCAACACTCTGGTTCAACTATTACCGGAAACAATTGCTTTTCTTCTCACTCTCATATCCTCAATTCCAAATTTCCAGGAAAACCTGCCCGAAATGTCGCACGTTAATCACAACAAGAGCCATCAATTTCTCTCTTTTGGGTAAAAAATTTTCTTTCTTTTCAGCGAATCCGGTTTTTTAGGAGCAATCGAGCAATTCGCGCAACAAAAGGCTGAACTATTGGAGTTGAGGGCGAGACAGAGCGCTCAGGTGGGAATGGGGATACTGTAATCAAAATCTTGAACGATGAAATCAAAAGCTTGAAAGATGAAATCAAAAGCTTGAAAGATCAAATTGAAATCTTGAAAGATCAAATCAAAATCTTGACACTTAATTTCTCAATCCCTCAAATTTCTCAATATCAAATATCAAATCAAAGATCAATGCGCTAAAGTTGAAAGTTTAACTTTTACTTTCGAAAAGGTGGACAATTTGGAAAGTTAATGTTGGAAAGTTACGTATTGAATGCTGCATATTAATCTTGAAGAAAGGAAAACGATTGCTTTACTTTATTTTACTTATTTTTATTGCATTAATCTTTCACAGGCTTTCCTTTAGATTTTGTCGAATTTACTAAATTTTGAGCTAGAGTAGAAGAAATCAAGAGTAAAAGGGTGGGGAAAAAAAAAAAACCAAACCTGCACCAGATTATGTTGATGTTTTGAATTTTTCAACTTTCATAAAAAAAAAAGCTGATTGTAATGCGTCAACTTTTTAGCTAAATAGTTCCCTTTCAGACTCGAGAACAAAATGTAACATCGGGAACTCTCGACGAGCTGAAGAATTCTTTAGGGAACCTCAAATTGGAGAGTGAGGCAATGCAAAGGCAAAGGGTAAAAGAAAAGAAAGAAAACGTTCGCAAATTTCAAATGTTTTCTATTTTAGGCTCAAGAGACGCTTGCGCAAATCAATTACCTTCAAAACCAAGTTCACCAGCAAGTGAATCAGAGACAAATCACGGATCTCAATGTGCAGATCATTGCGCTACAGTAAGTTTTCGAAGATAAACAAGTTATAGCAGGATTCGAAGATAAACAAGTTATAGCAGGATTTAAAGTTACATTGTGAATTGTGAATAAAGTTCACAATGTGGTACAAAAAATCAAAAAAAAGCACAACTTGTAAGCCCTAATTGTAGGGCAAAATCCATATATATGAAAAAGAATCAAAAATCTGGCCCGGGATTGAACCCTCGACCTCTCGACTAAGATCCAGGACTCTAGAGGATTTTCTAAAGTGTACGTGAAAATTGTTCTAAGGTACGATTGGTCGAACTTTCAGGAATCGCTTGAGCCGCGAGAATCAGAGCAAGGATCGCCGAGTGGAGGAGTTGGAAGTAAATAAAGATTTCGATAATATTTTGATCAATTCTAACATTTCTTACTATACAAAATCTATTTTACAGGCTAAAATCCTGGAAATGCAACACAAGCAACAGCAGCCACAAACGCCGAGAGTCGATCCAGTGATGGAGGCGAAAATTGCCGAGCTTGAGCGAAAGTTGGAGAGTTCGATGCAAACAAGCGGTGTAAGGGGAAATCAAAGATGAAAATAAGCTTATATTTTAGGATATTCAGTTAACCGGATGAAGGTTTTGTCATCTAAAACCAGAATTTGAGTAAATCAACTAACAAAGTTTTCCCCATTCTGCTTCTTTTAAATGAATGTTTAGCAAAAGCAAAATTGTTGAGTTAGATAGCTATAATTTATCTATATGTCGTAGCCGTTTACGAAATTCAGCCGTTTACGAATGATTCCTCAACGGCTGAATTTCGTAAACGGCTACGACATACAGGGTGCGCCAAAAGTTCCCGTACTTGTATTTTCTGCATTTTTGGTAATCTTAGATAAAAGATACGATTTTAAAAGTAAGAAATTCGAATTCCTCGCGAAAAACTGATTTAGAAAACGTTTCTGGTTAATTTATAAGTGCAACACTATTTAAGACAAGTGATTGAGAAGAGGGTCCGCTCAGGGGCGCTTTGGTCGCACAGTTACAGGGCACAGTTACAGGGCAGTAGATATCTATAAATAATCAAATCTATATCTTACAAGACTTATCCAGCCTTTATTTAGCGTACAATGAACTGGAAAGCGGCTTTCATTCGCGGTTTGCCCGAGAGCGCCAAAGAGAAACAAATCATGCATCTCGTTCGACTTGTCAATATCGATCCGGAAAAGGAGGATGTTAGGTGGGAAATTCTATGGATTCTATGGATTCTATGGATTCTATAGATCTATAGATTCAATAGATTTGATAGATAGCAATCAAATTCATCTAGAAATCCTATTCAAAAGCAATTCTAGAATCCAGCTCTACACACCGGCCACTCGCGGCACTTGTTTAGTTACTTTTTCCACAAAGGAATCAGCAACGAAAGTGGGTTTGAAAAGAGCAATTACAGAATTCAATAAAGGATTCAATAAAGTAATTGATTAACTCAAAAAAATAGTCTTCAAAAGTTAACTCAATAATCCGAATGGATATCCTTTAGTTCATCAAAAATTTCGACGGCCAAGAGTTTCTCTCAACCGGAAAAAAGCTTAAAGTCGAACAAGCAAGCTTTGATTCGAGGAAACAAGCAGCTGATGGTTTTACAAATTTCCATTTAAAGGTTTCTTTTTTGTATTTAAGGTCAAGCGAAAGGCACTCCGGCAGCCGCGCCAACTTTTGTCGCCGACAAGAAAAAGGTTTTCATTCGTGGATTGCCCGCCAATGTCACACCGGCTGATGTGACGAAGTGGATCTTCGAGGACAGCAAGAAACTGCTGGGCAACAGGTACTATAGTACTATGGTTTCTAAGCCTCAGCTACCGTATTCAGTGGCTTATAGACAGCTACCGTTGACCCTAGCTACTGTAGCTTCACTAACGTATCCAGCTTTCTCTCTATCTACCGTACCCAGCTACCGTACTCACAATCAATTTCGTCCTAGTATCATAGATAACTACTGTAATAACCCACCGCCATAATGACGGTGCGGAGCGTTGCGTAGTCTAGCTATGAACGAGTTTTTCTCGACACTGGTTTATGCTATAATGCAGGCTTTGGTATCAAAAAATAGCTGAAATTCAGCGCTATTTTTTGATACCAAAGACGAATTTACGGTAGCTTTATGTAAAGCTTAGTGTCACTGTAAAGTTGGCCGGTCCTGTTGCCACCTGTATAGCCATGTTTTATATGGTACATGTGAATGTTATCCCCGCAAAGTTGATGAAGAAGGGAATCGGCGCATGTCTCCCGAAGATAAGAACTCCAATCGATCGTTAATTTGTTGCACATTCCCAATTTTGGCCTTCGTAAAATTTCATCAATGTCATCTCTTTCGTCCAGCAGTAAATAAAGCGAATAACATTTGGATAGCATAGAATAAAGGCTCTACAAGATGACAAACAATTATGGGAGCACCTGATAAATAATGTAATTTTAGCCGGAAGTTTAAAAAGTAGCTACCGTAAATACTGTAATAGTACCCCACCGCCATAATGAGGGTGCGGAGCGTTGCGTAGTCTAGCTTTGAACGAGTTTTTATCGACACTGGTTTATGCTACAATGCAGGCTTTGGTATCAAAAAATAGCTGAAATTCAGGGCTATTTTTTGATACCAAAGACGAATTTACTGTAGCTTTATGTAAAGTTTAGTGTCACTGTAAAGTTGGCCGGTCCTGTTGCTACCTGTATCGCCATGTTTCAAGATGAGGCAAGCGCTAAGAAGGTGGGGAAATTAAAATAGAAATAGAATGTCTAGTAGATATGATATTATATTTGATTCTAATCTTTAGATCCTTGACAAATGGAACGGGAAATTGTATCCGGGCACTTCGAAAGAGTTGAGTGTTGATTATTGGAAGGTTTTAGAGGGATCCACCTCAAAGAATGAGCCGAAAAGCCAAAAGAAAGGTTTGAGGAAAATTCAATCAATGCAAATTTTAAAAAGTAACCATTTAAGGTGAGAACAACGAGAAAAACGAGCAGAAATTGAAGCCTCAAAATCAACAAACACAAAAGGGCCAACAAAAGTCCGAAATGCAAGTAAGAGACCCGACTTTTCGCTTTTCTAAAACGTTTCAGCTTTTGAAAACTACTGTAACTATCACAGATTATATTCTTTATTAAGATTATACCGCAATTATTCTAATAGCTTTTATTTTTTAATGTAAAAGCGTCAGTTATTTCCCTTTCAGCTCGTCTAAAAACGTTCATAGGCAAAAGATTTACTTAACTTAAGGATCAAAATGAAAAGAAATCTTTGAGGATCATTTATCTGAAAAAAAGATTAAAGAAATATTGATTTTGAAGAGAGTTATGAACAATTAATGAACAATTAATGCAAATTAATTCCAAGGTAAAGAAATTTCTCACGCTAAAACATTCTGAGCCTTCTTCGGTGGGACCGAACCGTCCCAGGGCCAGACGGTTTTCGTCCACCGGTGAACTCAATCTTCATTTTGATTCTTTACTTAACACGTCCCGAATGTGTTAAGTTAAGCATCAAAATGAAGAGAAATGTTTAAGGATCATTTTTCTAGAAATTGTTTGAAAAAATATTGACTTTAGAGTAAGTTATGAAACTTTGAATGGAAATTAGTTCAAATTGAATGCAATTTCCCTAGAGCATCGATCCGGTCCGGGAAATTTCTCATCCTAAAACTTTCTGAATTTTCTTCAAACTCAAGATTTCTTTAATCTTTTTTCAGATAAATGATCTGTAAACATTTCTCTTCATTTTGATTCTTAGCTTAAGTAAATCTTTTGGTTGATGAGACGAATAGGAAAGGAAAACAGAGACGAATAAGTTGATGAAAAGCAAGCCAAGACTCTGCTTAACACATTCACGAGGTTTTTCCTTTGACTTTTGCGTCAGTTATTTCCCTTTCAGCTCGTCTAAAAACGTTCACAGGCAAAAGAGTTACTTAATTAAAGAGTGAAAATGAAGAGAAATGTTTACAGATCATTTATCTGAAAACAGATTAAAGAAATAATGAGTTTGAAGAAAGTTCTGAATGTTTTAGGATGAGAAATTTCCGGGACCGGATCGATGATCTGGGGAAATTGCATTCAATTTGAACTAATTTCCATTCAAAGCTTCATAACTTACTCTAAAGTCAATATTTTTTACAAAGAATTTCCAGAAAAATGATCCTTAAACATTTCTCTTCATTTTCACTCGTTACTTAAGTAAATCTTTCGCCTGTGAACGTTTTTAGACGAGCTGAAAGGGAAATAACTGAGGCAAAAGTCAAAGAAAAACCTCGTGAACGTGTTAAGCAAAGGCTTGACTTGCTTTTCATCAACCTATTCGTCTCTTTCAATCGAATAACTCAATAGTTTTTGAGATTTTCATCTAAAACTTCAACATTTAGGCTTAAATGATCAAATTTTCTCTCAGAAAAGCCTTCCCGGAAACATTGTTTTCCTTCGAAATCTCCCCTTGGAGACAACGGAGAGCGATCTTGTGGTTATGTTTCATCAAAGAGCACAAATAGCTCAAAATCCTGGAGATCGACGTAATAAGTGAGTTTTTGTCGGAAAAAAAGTGGCTTCTTTGACTCTTTTCAAAGCAAAAAACTCTTCTAGAATCGATTTTCAAGCGGCTGGCGCGAATGCAAAGTTTAAATTCGCGAAAATCACTTTTGTGACTGATCAGGACGCTCAAAAGGTGGATTTTCATTTAAAATAAACAAGAATAGATTGATAATTTTCGATTTCATAAATGAAATTGCAAAGTTCGTTTTCAGATTGTTCGCGAATTTGACGGAAAAAAGTTCCCGAATAGCGACCGAGTGATGGGCGCCGCAATTTTGTAAGAAAGAATTTTGAGGGGAAATTTTAAAGAAAACTATAACTTTAATTAGATCTAAAATATTATTATCTTATAATATATTATCTTATAATCAATTTTACATGTTATAAATCAATTTTGAATCAATTTCAAATCAATTTCAGTGGCCAGAAGAAGGCCGAGAAAGCGGCAGGCCCGTCCGGTGGTCAAAACAAGAAAAATAATCAAACGGCTGTACGTTTTACATTATAAATCTTTTATTTATATGCTAATCTAGTTTAACAATCGATTTTTAATCGGTTTTGATCGATTTTGATCGATTTTGAGCCTTTTTCAGACGAATATCGTTGTGGTGAAAGGTCTCCCGTTCGAGACAACCGTCAACGATATTGTCGCCAAATTTCATGGGGTTTCCAAAATTCAAATGGACCCTAATGGTTATGAAAGGTGAGCTGAATAACTGTAGTTTATCGAATTTTAGAAAAATTTTACTTGCTCTATGCTTAGCAATTCTTTAGGGTAACCCTTCACAAGAATCCGGATGGCACCCCGACTGGACGGGCCACCATCGTTTTCAAAGAGGCTGATGGGGCACAAAAGGTTTGTTATCAGCAATAAAAATGAAATTCATTTAAATACATTTACAATTTTATAGAAAAACACTATTTTTGTAATTAGAAATATCAAAAAAACTTGAATCTTATCATTCGCAACTTTTAATTGAGTGGAAATAACTTTCAAATTTGCCTGAACCCTCAATGAATCACGTTTATCACCAGCCTTTAAAGGGCTTTTTAGAAAAA